TCTTACCCGGAAGTCCATCGTTGGAAACTCCACAGTTAAGTGTGCTTGGCTTGGAGCAATTCTATGATGGGTGACCCTCCTGGGAAGTTTTCTCGGGGAGCGTGCGAGTGAGGACAAAGTATGCTGAAAATACCCATGTTGGTACAGTGGGGACAGTACGTCGTCGATCTAACGGCCGGGACAGCCCGTTAAGTGGGACCCAGATCGTTACAATGCCACTAGCCGAATCCTCCATTTTAATTTTCACAGAAAATACAGAGACTAAACCAAAGCTCTGATACCACTTTGATGGGGATTAAGCCAATATAACAAACAAGCAGCGAAAGTAATTAATTCAACCCCTCAATGTACAAAAATTAAAATGGAAACTATAATAGGCAAATCCAATAGCTCACACACACTGCCAGAATATAAATTGAAAACCAGGTTTTTAACGAGGAAACCATGCGAAGGGGAAAAAACCCCGGGACCTAGTCTAGTAAAAACCTTCCAATTTGTTGGGTATTCCTCCTAGTAAGGGAGCCCAACAAATTGGTAAGTGTGCCTTTCTTCCTCAGGTCCAAAATCAATTTATAATAGCAAGAGGGAGACCCCATTGATCGGAGGTTCATTTGTGGTCCGATTTAACTGATATTTCAGTATGTTTTTCCTGGCGAAGAGGATTACATTTTGACTGGAGCCGATCGTTCAGACTTCTCTCCTTTTGTCTGGGCCACACACACTTGTTTAGTAGACTTTCTTCTTTTTTATAGTGTGTATTTATTTGGAAGGATGTTGTAGTTATCCAAGAACTATATGAGTTCTTGATGTATTGATAGCATCTGGAGTGTGCTCTAGAGAGGGTTAATTGTGTATTCCATTATTTTCACAGTGGAAGGCTTTTACTGGATTAGGTTCTGGGGCTTCTTCCCTTCGCAGGGTTTCCTCGTTAAAAATCTGGTGTTCAGTTTATATTCTAGCAGTGTGTGTGAGTTGTTGGATTTTCCTATTATAGTTGCCATTTTAATTCTTGTACATTGAAGGGTTGAATTAATTACTTTCACTGCTTGTTTGTTATATTGGCTTAATCCCCATCATTATTTTGGGTATGAATGAGCCACAGAGGCACAAGCTTTTTGATAAATAACCATTATATTGTTCAATTTTGTGATGTCAATTTTCTTCTCAGTGGAGGACTAGGGGAAAAATTATGATAGAAGGAAATTGTGTGAATGCAGGTATGTGCTTTAGTTGGTGGGGGAGCGTACGCAGAAAAAATAGCTGTACCTGCTGGGCAGGTTCTTCCTGTTCCACCTGGTGTTTCTTTGCAAGATGCAGCTAGTTTTCCTGAGGTAGCTTGTACGGTCTGGTCGACTATCTTTATGATGAGCCACCTATCCAAAGGGGAAACTTTACTGGTAAACTGCTTACTTGCTTTATTTTATTTTTCTGATCTAATTGATTGTTGTGATTGACTTTTTTAGCAGGACTTATTTCAGGGTGTGATCTATAAGTAGAAAAAAATCAAAGTAAGACAGTACTTAAAAAAGTAATACTATTCGGATAGTTTCTGAATTTTGAAATGTATATTGGTCAATATAGAATTCAGCAAGGGAAAACCGTGAGCTTGGTGATGTAAAGTTGAAGCTGACTTTCTAATTGGAGGAGGGAGCGAGGAACTTGTCTGTTCATCTAGTTTAGCTACAATAAGGGTTGCACAATTTACTTTGACAGTTATGGATAATGCTCATCTTTATGATATGAATAAAGACCACAAAGAAGTACAACAATGTAATACACCTAAAATCTTTTCACTATAAATGCCTATTATTGTTGATGGATCTAGTTTTGTTGCT